CACACACACACACACACACACACACACACACACACACACACACACACACACGCCGCTCTCCGCCTCGCGCTCCTCGCGCCGCAAGGATGCCCAGCCGGACGGCGAGAAAAAAGGAGCCGCAAATGTGGGGAAACGTGCAGCCCAGGCCCGACACAATATTCCGCCTGGCAGTTCAACCGGCAAGTGGCAGAGGGGTGTACGCACGGCCGCATGTGAAAGCCGATCGCTGGGCCCCGACCGTCCGACGAAAGGACAAACCACCAGGCGCCAAGGGGGGGGAGGGGTGCCCGGCCGGGCGGGCCTCCCCGAGGGCAGATCCCCACACACGGAGTGTCAGTGATCGAAGCCCGCAAAAGGGACCGAGAGAAAGTGGGCAAAGGGCGCAGCCGCCAAGTGGCGCAGCTGATGGGGCTGACAGACTGGCTGGCTGGCTGGCCGGCCGGCGTATGTGATCCCTTTCCGCCCTCCAGCCGGCTGTCGCCCTCGTTCTCCCCCGTTTGTGTCGTTCCCGGTCCGGGCACGCGCGATCCGGATGCGGCCGCCGGCGGACCACCGGCTGGCTGAGAGCCGGGGGCGTTTCGCGGCGCAGCGGGCCCACGGGTCCTCGGGCGAGGGGGGGGGGGGGGGCGGGGGCCCGGGACCCGAGAGCGCACATGTGCTCGCTTGCCGGCTCTCTCCCTCCTCCCAGTCGTGGACCCCTCCGGAGAGATTGGGGGAGCGCGCGCGCGCGCGGCTGCGTCGCAGGTGACCACGACGTGATCCGGGTGTGTGTTGCCAACGGATGCCCCCATCGAAACGGGGTTCCTACCTTTCACCCTGTTTTTTTGCCCCGACTCCCGCCCTGCCTTTTGAGGGGGGAACAAAGAGCGCGGCAAAAAGGGAGGATTAAAATAATGCACAAGAAAGGGAGGGCTATTTTTTATTGTGCCGAGACGGGGCGGGGGGGGGGGGGGGGGGAGGACCAGGGAGTGTGGGGGCCCGGGGCGGGTTTTTTTTCCCCCTTCCTCCCCTCCCGTCCTCGGGACTTTCGACCGGGTTCCTGCTCGCATCACTCGGTCCGGGGGCGCTTGGCGTCCGGGGCACCGTCGACCGACTCGTCGGGAACATCGGTGACCTCGGCCACCGCGGCACTGGCCACCGCAGGGGTGGCAGCGGGGGCAGGCACAGTGGTGGGGATCTTGGGCCCGGCTTGGCGTGCCCGGAGCTCCTCCTCGGCCCGCTGGCGAAGCTCGGCCTCGCGGCGCAGGCGCTCCGGGTTGAGGGCCTCCGCGCGGGACTGCTCACGCAGGGCGGCAATCGACCGGCTGTGGCCGTCCCAGGCACGCTCCTTGGCCAGCAGCCGGCGCTGCTGCTCCTCCGGGTCCTCCTCCGCGCGCTGGGCCGCTTCGGAGCCGAAAATGTCCGACCGCTGGCGAGCCAGCTGCTGCAGGCTGGCGGAAATCTGCGACGGGTCCTGGACAAGGTTGGACGCATGGCGCGTCTGCTTGGCCTCGGCCGCGGCACGCTGCTCCCGCCAGCGGGGATCCACCAGCTCCACACGCAGCTGGTCGTTGGCCGTCTCCGGGGCGATGGTCTCGCCGCGGAAGGTGAACTGTGGCCCATGCTCTCGGCGAAGGCCGCCCTGCGCGGCCAGCGGCACATAATCCCGGCGAATGGTCACCTCCTCGGCGGGCTGGCTGGAAGTGGCAGCCGCGGCCACCGCCTCGGCCGGGACCGAGCCGGCCGCGGGGTCCTGCTCGGTGGACGAGCGCTCGGCCGAGGCCAGGGCCTCCAGCTGCGTGGCCTTCAGCGAGGCCAGACGAGCCAGCAGGCTGTCGCGCGTCAGCGGCTCCGACAGATGGGCCACCGCGTCGCTCGGGGACAGGTCAATCGTGCCGGCCACCTCGAAGTCATTCCAGTCGATGGCCATGAAGGCCCGGCGCTCTTCGTCGGCCTGGGCCTGCTCGGCGGCCGTCCGCTCGGCCATGTACGTCCGCCAGGCCAGGCGGGCATGGGCCTGCTCGACCACCGACCGCAGGGGGTCCTCGGAGATGGCTCGCAGCCGGTCGAGCAGCTGCGTCCGGGGGTTGATGATCAGGCTGTAGTCCTGCACCAGGCACGAGAAGAAGGGGAAAAGCGAGTGGCGGTTGCGCAGGAAGTCAAACTGCCCGTTGTCACTCTCACGCTGCTGGAGCTGCAGCAGGAAGGACCGCCCATTCCGGGCCACAAACTGTGCCGTAAGCTTGATGATATCGCTGTGTGGATGGGGGGCGGGGGGGAGACGGAGGGCGGAGGGCGGCCGAGGCAGAAGGTCAGGACCGAGGGAAGAGGGGAGAGGCATTGCAAGCGAGGGAGAGGGTGGCGACGCACAGGTCGAGAGCCGTGATGTGCGGCGTATCAAGGAGGAATTCCAGGTCCGGCGGCTGGGGAGGCGGCGCGTCGGACTTGACCTCGGGCTTGTCGGCGGCGGCATCCTGCGATAGGAGAGCACCCAGGAGGGGAGGGAGAGAGAGAGAGAGAGAGGAAATGCGAGTGTCAGAGTTTTGGTAGGTTCAGCAAAGGCGGAACAGGGGGGGG